TAAATAATAATAATAACAATAAAATAAGACCTCCCCAGATAATAAGCCCTACCCAAAAATAAGACCTCCCCGAAAATATTTAAACCATACACAGCCGGTCCCCGACATTTCCTCTGGTTAGGGTTAGGGAGACAGAGCTGGAAATCAGGTAAGATGGCAAGAGGAGCCCGGTCTTGCTCCACGCACCCCAAAATAATAAGACCTCCTCGAAAATAAGGCCAAGCATTTCTTTTGGGGTTAAAAAAAATATAAGACACGGTCTTATTTTCTGGGAAACACGGTAGAAAATTAGTGCGCTCAGTTAACCTGTAATAGGCATATGAATGTTCTTATTCTTTATTGCAGCTATTAATGCTGAAGACAAACATATCATGCAGTGGTAATGAAAATAATGTATTGTTTGAAGAAACTCTCCTTCCTCCATTAAACAGGCCTTTGATATCTCCTTGATTTCCAAAGGGACTGAATGTTTCTCTCTATTTTCTCTGTTCTCTGTTCCATTTGCAACCACCTCAGCACCATCTTCATTCCTCTTCCCATGCTATGTAACAGGAACATTGCTGTGCACTTATTAAAGGTAGTCCTCAACTTACAAACATTCGTTTAGTGATTGTTGAAGTTACAGTGGCACTTTTTCCCATGGTCACATGATCGCCATTTGCAAGCTTCCCAGCTGGCCTCTGACGAGCAAAGTCAATGGAGAAGCCAAATTCAACTGTGTGATTCATTTAACAAATGCAGTGATTTGCTTAAGAACCATGACAAAAAGATTACAAAATTGGGTGTAACTCATGTAAACTGTCTTGCTTAGTAACAGAAATTCTGGTCCCAATCATGGTCATAAGTCAAGGACTACCTGTATATAGTTTAGGCCAGTGTAATCTGTGTGTGATAGACTGTCTTACTAGAGTTGCATGAATGAAATTATCATTGTAAATAAATTGCCAATCTGCAATTAAACCTTTCTGAAAAACCAGATTATGCATTGGCTCTAACTCTGACCCTTCTTTTCAGAACTTGTTCCTATACATTGCCATAAATCACCATGATGGTAATTTTCCTTGCGTGTAGAAGAAATTTTTGAATTTCACCTCTGGCTGTGATACCACTAGGTGAGATTTGTGAAACAGCTAGAGTGAAATGCAAAGCTACTTGAATTTCAAGTTTTTTCACATTTTTGTTCCTGGCTTTGAAACGGGGACCTTTTCCATGGTTTAAAACATGAATTTTTCCAGTAAAAGAGCCAGCTTTTTGTATCTCAGTTATGTAGCCATGATGCAGTTTACCAAAGAATATAGATTCTAAATTAATTACTTAACAGAATAACAGAGTTGGAAGGGACCTTGGAGGTCTTCTAGTCCAACCCCCTGCATAAGCAGGAGACCTTATACCAGTGATGACTAACCTTTTTGCCGTCGTGTGCCAAAAGTCGGGGGAGTGGGGGGGTCACATGTGTGTGTGCCCACACTCATAATTCAGTGCACCCCGTCCCCCTGCGCATGCCCACATGACCCCACTGAGCTCCCCTGCTTTTGGCATGCGATGGCACAGTGGGCCCAGTAGGCCCATTTTTCACCCTCCCCAGGCTCCAGAGGCTTTCATGGAGCCTAGGGAGGGTAAAAACGGCCTCCCCCCCCCCCCGGAGGCCCTCTGGAGGCCGGAAACAGTCTGTTTGCTGATTTCTGGTGGGACCTAGAAAACCTCTGGAGCCTGGGGAGAGCAAAAACTGGGCCTTTCCTCCCCTGGAGGCTCCCCAGAGGTTGGAAACAGCCTGTTTCCTGACCTCCGGTGGGCCAGGAAGGCCCAAAAATCAGCTGGCTGGCATGCGCATGTGGGCCGGAGCTGAGCTAGGGCAACACTTGCGTGCCCACTGATATGGCTCCGTGTGTCACCTGTGGCACACGTGCCATAGGTTCGCCATCACGGCCCTATATCATTCTGGATCAATGGCTGTCCAATCTCTTCTTAAAAGCCCTCCAATGATAGAGCATCCACAACTTTTGAAGGCAAGCTGTTCCACTGGTTGCACTTATCTGAAACTGATAAGAAGAAATGCAAAATTGAGAACAAGTTTTATGTGGTGTGCAACCATTAATTATATGAATGGGAATTATTTAATAAGAACACATAACATTCACTTTGGGATAGTTATATTACTTTGTCATCCTTATGCCATAGGAAAAAAGATTCCTTGGCAAATAAGGCTGGCAGCTCACCTGAGACAGGGTGATAAAGGACAACTATCACAAGTGCCCAAACTCTGTAGCTAATTTAACCCCTGCCCCGCCTCGCCCCCCCCCAAAAAAAACTTGAAAGAAATGTCTGGAGAGGCAGAAGAATAGAGTCATCTATTCTTTGGGATCCAATCCTATGGTTTTTACTTTAACTGCTATATAGCCCCTGCTTAAGATATCTGCAGCTTCTCCCTTAAGATTGTAAAAAATGTGTTTTTCCTTTTTACAATGGCAGGACTTTAGGTATTTTACATGAAACCTTGATGATTCCAAGATGCATTCACACACCCTACCTGTGAATTTCTTAGTAGTGGGAACCAGAGCAGATGAAGTTCCGGTCGAATCTGTCAAGGTTTTCCCTATCTGTTTAACTATACAGGTAGTCCTTAACTTATGACCACACTTGGAACCTGAATTTCTGTTGCTAAGCCAGGCAATTGTTAAGTGAATCACACCCAATTTTATGACTTTTTTCTACCATGGTCCATCAGTGTTGTTAAGTGAATGGTGTTGCTCAGTAAGTACACCTTCTCCCATTGACTTTGCTTGTTGGGAACTGGCTGGGAAGGTGGGAACTAGTCACATGACCCTGGGATACTGCAACCATAAATATATGCTCATTGTCAAGTGCTCAAATTTTGATTAAGTGACTACAGGAATTCTGTGGTGGTTGTGTGAAGACCAGTCATAAGTCACTTTTTCACTGTTGTTGTAACTTTGAACAGTCACTAAACAAATGATTGTAAGTTGAGAACTACCTGTACATGTGCCATAACAGTGCTGAGAATGTAATATCACAAATGGTAATGGTTATATAATCACTTTTTTTTACAAGTTGTCTGCCCCTTTGTTGAAAAACGCATTGATCTGCAAGTTATAGTTTTCAGTGTTTAATTTCAATTCATTAACCTACTTTATGGTCAATTCAGTGCAAAAACAAATACTTCTTGTAACAACATGTTTTTTTGTGGTGGCACAGTGGTTAGAATGCAGTACTGCAGGCGGCTACTGCTGAGTGCCAACTGCCAACAGTTCGGTAGTTCGAGTCTCACTGGCTCAAGGTTGACTCAGCCTTCCATCCTTCCGAGGTGGGTAAAATGAAGACCCAGATTGTTGGGGGCAATAGGCTGACTCTGTAAACCGCTTAGAGAGGGCTGTAAAGCACTGTGAAACAGTATATAAGTCTACGTGCTCTTGCTAGCTGGAAAGATTAATTATTTATTGAACTGTCTGTAATTATTTTTTCATAGAATGAATTTCATTTGATGTAATCTACTTTTATCACCCTATTGGTTGAAATGTATACTTTAATACCACGTTTCCCCGAAAATAAGACTCTGTCTTATATTTTTTTTGAACCCTGAAATAAGCACTTGGCCTTATTGCCAAGCTTGTTATCAGGGGATGTCTTATTTTGGGGGAAACAGGGTAGCAATAGCAATAGCACTTAGACTTATATACCGCTTCATAGTGCTTTTACAGTCCTCTCTAAGCAGTTTACAGAGTCAGCATATTGCTCCCAACAATCTGGGTCCTTAAAAATGTAAGGTATAGATATTGCAAGAGAAGCAGCAAAGAGATGAAATAAAAATACCTGTCATGTATTGAACACAATTGGGGAACTTCTATAGAAATAGATGCAAATTGTACATTTTATTCTTGTGCAGCTCCCATTCAGTGTGCCTTGCATCTTGCCCAGAACCTTGTGCCAAAAGACTCTTCAGTGCCCCATAGAGACTAGATTATGTCAATGTCCTCAAATTCAAAATGGACTCTTGTGGCACAATCACTATTTGTGATTGTAATAAGAAGGTAAAGTGTCTCTGCAACTCATCTTTTCAGACCGGTTTCTTTGGACATCTTTGACTCAGCTGTTTCAAAAGGTCACCATCTGAAGAAGCAGAAAAAATATACATCATGATCATGAAAATAGAAAGGAAGGTCTAATTCTTTTCTGAAGTGGCCGTTTCCTTGAGCAATGAGCTAGTATATCTCATTAAAAGAGATTTGTCATATGAAGCTATATCAGAATAACAGAATAACAGAGTTGGACGGGACCTTGGAGGTGGTCTAGTCCAACCCCCTGCTCAATCAGGAGACCCTATACCATTCCAGACAAGTGGCTGTCCAGTCTTTTCTTAAAAGCCTCCAGTGATGGAGCACCCACAACTTCTGTGTTGTACAACAGTGTTGTAGTATATACATCAGTGTTGTATATGTTTATACATTCAATGTTATAATTTCTGGGTTGTACGTCTGGGTTGCAGCAATAATATATATCATTTAAGGATAATGGTGTGACTTTTTTCATACATACAATTTATAATTCATATTATAATATACCATGAAACCCATCCATGCCAATAACTAAAGAACTGTCTCAGTGGCAAATATTATAACTGTGATACCTTCACATTTTTTTTGTTGTGACTAAGTCTAAAACCCATCTCCATAGAAAAATGTTTAAATTCTGTTTTTCTTGTTCTGAGGACAAATAGGCAAATGTTCATAGTAGTCCAATGATTAGGAGGTTCCATGATGTCTTATAAAAGTATCCCATTATTGTAGAAAGGAAGGCTGGTAGGCTTTTTTTACTTCTAATGGGCAAATACTGGTACTTATTATTCTTGGGGAAATAGTCCACTGTTTCTATAAGTAGAATGCGGTTTATGATCCTGTCTGTATTTCCTCTGCCACAATTTACAGCATTCCTAAATTTCCTTTTGCCTTTTTTTTTTGCTTTTTCTCTCTTTTCCCACCCCCTAGGAAGAAGTGCAGTATGGCTCCAGTTCCCTGGCTATGTTGACGGACACTTGGGATAAATTTGGAAATTCTAACCCGGTTCAGGAATCAACCTCTCCCAGAAACACTGAGAACAATTTGGGAAGAAAATCTTACCTTTTGGGAGTAGAGTCTTTTGCTCCAAAACTCTGGAGCACTGAAGGCATGGGAGATTCCTATGCAGCCACTTTCCCCAATGGGAATGGATTGATGTCTCCTTCAGCAAGCCCACAAGCTTCTACCACTTACAGCAATGATTACAGTCCTTTCCCCCATTCCTTCTCAGCCTCACCCACAACTCAAGATCCTTCTTCGTTGCTGGTGCCTAAGGGGCATCCATCCCCTGATTGTCTCCCCAGTGTCTATACCTCCTTGGACATGGCACACCCTTATGGCTCCTGGTACAAAGCTGGCATCCACCCAGGCATCTCTACCAGTTCTAGCAACCCTACGGCTTCTTGGTGGGACATGCATTCCAACAGCAACTGGTTGAGTTCTCAGCCACAATCCGATGGACTCCAGGGTTCCTTACAGTCCATGCCGAGTCAGGCGCCCATCAGCCCCCAGCTACCCAGTTACACGTCTGACTTCACAACTTTGAATCCTGCTCCTTACCCTGCAGTAGGCATTACTTCTTCATCACACCTTCTCCCTTCAGGACAACATGTGCTGCCCCAAGAAATGTATAAACCTAAGCCAGTGGCCAACAACTCCCTGATGGAAGGTGGGATTGCCTTGAAGTCTGGAAGAGGGGGCTCCTTTGGCAGCACAACCGGCAGGTCCACTTGTGACTGCCCTAATTGCCAAGAACTAGAGCGGCTTGGGGCCTCAGCAGCCAGCTTGCGGAAGAAGCCGATCCACAGCTGCCATATTCCAGGCTGCGGGAAGGTCTATGGGAAAGCCTCACATCTGAAAGCCCACCTGCGATGGCATACCGGGGAACGTCCTTTTGTCTGCAATTGGCTTTTCTGCGGCAAGCGTTTTACGCGCTCGGACGAGCTGGAACGCCACGTTCGCACCCATACCCGGGAGAAGAAATTTACCTGTTTACTCTGTAACAAGCGCTTCACTCGTAGCGACCACCTCAGCAAGCATCAGAAGACCCATAATGAAATGGGAGTGGGCAAACCCCCAGAAGGTGAAGCGGAGCGAGAAGAGGTTGCTACAGGGGCTAGTTCTCCCAGCGCTGCAGCCCTTCAAGATGGCCTGGCTGGAGAGGAAAAAGATGCCACCAGCCCTGAGCAAAGCAGTCTCCTGGAAATCTAATGGGTACTCTTGTGCGTGTGCTCCAGCTTGCTTACTTCGTACCATCTCCACCATTCTTCTTTTGAGTGCTTCCTGCTAAATAATTTATTTGTGAATGAAACACAACCGCTGTTGCCGTTAGCCGTTCCTCTAGCTAAGATTGTACCTTATGTAAAGCTTCCCTAACCCCAATCCAGAAGCCGAATTCAGCTGGGACCTCAGAAGGTCTATGACTTTGTGGCTAAAGACTCAAGAGGCAAAATCGGAAGCTACATCCTCTAATGTCCCTTAAGCTGTTAAAACCAAAATAGCTACCCGCTGAGGTCTCTATGTGATCACTTGGATAATGGCCAAAACGTTGAACTCGTAATATCATGCGTAGGACTAGCCAAGTAGCAGGCTGGGCAGGACTGAAATAAATTTTTCTCAGGGTATGTATAGGAATCACTTTCCATCTCATGTAAACCCACTGAGCATATGATTCTGAGCACCTCTCCTAACTTCTGGCACCCGTAGGTGATGGAAAAAAAAACAAGGGCCTTCTTTGAGATTAGAACACTCTATCTGCACCATTGAGTGTGCCCTTGTTCCCAGACTCTAGTGCAGTGATGGCTAACCTTTTTGCCATCGTGTGCCAAAAGTGGGGGGGAGTGCGGGAGGGTCGCTCACGCGTGTGCCCACACCCACAATTCTATGTGACCCACCTCCTGCGCATGCGCGTGCAACCTCCCCCTGCGCTCCCCCCACTTTTGGCATGTGATGGCAAGGTAGGACCATTTTTCGCTCTCCCCAGGCTCCAGAGCCTTCCTAGGAGGCTGGGGAGGGTGAAAACGGCCTTCCCCACCCCACTGAAGACCCTCCGGAGGCCGGAAAAACCCCGTTTGCCAACTTCCAGTCCCACCAGAAGACCCATTTTTCACTCTCCCCAGGCTCCAGAGCCTTTCTAGCAGGCTGGGGGCCAAATTGGCCTCCCCCCCCCCCCCGATGCCTTCCGGAGGCCAGAAACAGCCTTTTTCCTGACTTCCGGTGGGCCCAAAAGGCCCGAAAACCAGCTAGCCGGCACGTGCATGCACACCAGAGCTGAGCTTGCGTGCCCACCGATACGGCTCCGTGTGCCACCTGTGGCACGCGTGCCATAGATTCGCCATCACGGCTCTAGTGCAATCTCTTACTCAGAAGATAATAGTCCAATAGGCATCTCGCAGTGAGATGGGCGGCAAACAAGTTTGATAAGTATATGAATGAATAAGTTGGTTAGCTTCAGATGCTGAAAGAGTGCTTATTATAGCTTTAAGAGCTGCAAGGGAAAAAAAAGTTTTACAAGGAATGGCTCTCCAGGTGACTGATAGCATTAATGAGAAAAGCCACAGCTGGTAAAACTGTGCGTATTTGTCAAGCTCTTCAAGATTTGTAAGCCCTGGCAAGATCCAGATATGGAATTTTATTACTAAGCCTCCACCCTTTCTTTAAATAAACTTGGAAGCTACTGGTTAGAAATCGTTGCTTCAGTAAATATAAAGGGAACTTTTGCTATTAAAATCCCATCCTATTTAAAATTAAAAGTCTTGGTTCTGGGCAGTAGGAGGCCTTAGGTAATATTCGGAAGGGCAAATTAGCAGCCAATTATACAGCCATCACTCTTCCATCAGTATATACGGGGATTCTATTTTCCCTTGATTTCTGTCCATATTTTTTTCGATGCAAGATCAGCAAAGATTGTGCAGTTGATTGGGTCATGCAGTGATCACTCCAAAGAAGATGCTGGCATTTCGTAGGTAGAATTTCTGCCTGTTCCCCTGGTTTTATATGAATGTCACATACTATGCCAAGAGCTAATTTGGGGCCTTATTTTGAATATTAGGGACATGACCTTATACAGTACAAAATGGACTGTTCCACTGAAGTGCAGAAACAGAGAAATTCTAGTGTTCTTTACTTTACCAAGGTAAAGGAAGTTGAAGAGGAAAACCAATAATTTCATAGGAGAAATAAGAAGAATAGCTCACAAGAGGTCCCATATAGGTGCTACAAGGCTGTTTTGAACCTTTCTCTTCCCATATATTTAATCTAGAAATATATTTATCCTTAAATTATGATGAAAAATAAATAGAGGTGAGGAGGTGGCTGGATTCTCCAAACAGCCTCTAACCAAAGGCATCTATTTTCTGATCAGAATTGTCTCTCTGTTAATTGGGAAAGGGCTTTCCTTGTGCAAAACAGTGCCATCTGCAACTTGCTTTGTTCTTTTTAGTTGTAGCTTCATATTTTGGGGAGAAATGAAATATTTATAATCTAAAATGCTTTTTGTTTTAAGTTCTGCTCATTTTTGATAATAAAAAACAGATTCAGGTGGATTTGGAAGCTTGTTAATACTGGATATTTTGAGAAGCAAATTCTCAATATTTGAGTGTTCTCATTTTTGGTAGCAATCTATTTGGTTTAGCAAACCAACTATCAACAGTTTAAGCATTAGAGAAGGAAATCCCTGGCACAACCCTCTATTGTTTTGGGGCATTATTCCTTTTCAAAAGTCTAATGTCTATGGACCTATGTGGTTAAATGCTTCCCACATTGCTTTGATCTGCTTGCTTTTGAGCTCAGGTGAAGGCCACTGGGTAGAAGAAGAAACTCACATGGTTAATTACCAACAAGAGGTCATTGCTAGAAAAAATAATATTCTTGTGTCGAATTGTCCCCTTCCATCTTGCAGTATTTAGGCACACTATTTCTACTGAGTTTCTGTGTGCTGCGCCTGCTTCCAACATCATTAATTGGCTTCTCAAAGGGAACCTCAAATGTGATTAACTCACAACATGGAGAAACTCTAAAGGTTTTGAGAGAGGGGAGTTACTATTAACTAGTTAATACAAAATGTAGTCCAGTACATTGCGTCAGAAGTGCAAATCATCACTCTCTGTTGTTTGCCATGTGAGGCAGCTCACATGGAAGCTCATTTTTGCTTTGGATTTTGCTTATTTTTAATTTAAAAATAAAAATAAAAATATAAGCTATGTTGTGGGGGGGGAAAAGAATGCTGAAAGAAACTGGATCCTTATGTATGGAAGTACAATCCAATCTGGTGCTACTGTACCACATTTCTAATAAAGTGGCACTTTTACTGCCTGCAAAGTTACTGCTTTTCTGGAGCCTTTGTAGCTGCTCACAAGCATGCAAGCTGGGGGAAAACCTGGGGTCTATATCAACCCCCTCTACCCAATATTCAAATACACTCACATTTCCCTTCCACAACTCACAAGAATTGCAGGAGTTAAAAAGTGTGTAAGAGTAAAACAGTGAAATATATCCTCCGTCTTCTGCAATGCCCAGTCCATCCATCTGGAGCAGAGTTTCTCAAACTTCACAACTTTTAAGTCTGTGTGGCCTTCAACTCCCAGAACTCTCCAGCCCGGACTTAAAAGTTCTCAAAGATTGAGATATGTGATCTCTAGAGTGTATCTACCTACTTGAAAAAGACAAACCTGGATGACCCTTTTAAAGAATGAGCTGACTGAACTGTGGGGTGAGGCCAGTGGTGGGATTCAAGTAATTTAACAACCGGTTCTCTGCCCTAATGATTTCTTCCAACAACCAGTTTGCCAAACTGCTCAGAAAGTTAACAACCGGTTCTCCCGAAGTGGTGCGAACTGGCTGAATCCCACCACTGGGTGAGGCCATTTTGTCTTGTCTTTGTAGTGGTAGCATCTTTGCCCTTGGAGTTAGTTATCTTAGAAGGGGCTAGGCATTGCCTCTGGGGGTCACCGAGAGGCTGAGTGGGAGTCCCCTGCTTTTAGTTCCCATGGCCAAGGAGGAATTGCACTCCACAGGACAATTGCCACAAGCTGTCCTTCGGGAAATGGTGACTACTGCAGCTCCCAGCCTCCCTCCCAGATCAGCCCTTTGGAACAAAGACCTTCTGTCAGCCGGGCTTTCACAAGAGCACAATAGACTCTTGTGAGGAGACAAACTCTCATCAGAAGGCAGGGCAATTACAGCCAACACCAGCCAGGCTGGACTTTAATTCCTTGAGGTTCACTATATATTGCCATAGTTCATATTTGAGAATGAGATGTCCCTTGGAGGCTTTCTTCCTGCCTAGGCTTACTCATAACCTCAGTACGAGTCTTAAGGCAGATCACAAAATGGCCCCTCTACCCACTTTTAAGAAATCCCAGTCACTGTGCAGATACACCTGTTCCACTGTCTGCTTCATCTTGTCACAAATCTGGGACAGCCCTTAGTTACTTTCTGAAGTATTAAGCCTCTCTGGCTAATAAACACCCAAAATGCTGGTGGAAGGTTGTTTTTCTAGTACAGGGGTCAGCAACCTGCGGCTCTGGAGCCGCATGTGGCTCTTTCATCCCTCTGCTGTGGCTCCCTGTTGCTGGTCGACTACACAATTGATAGGGCTTTCGGTTAGGACAGGTAGAGGAAAAAGGATGCTGCGCTAAGAGGACACTCTTTGGTGGGGGAACCAGACTTCCGGTTAACAGAGAAAAAAGGACACCGTGCTAGGAGGAGACTATGATGGGGGAACCGGACTTCCGGTCAGCTCCAGAATTGAACGGGGGTTTCCGGTTAGGATCTTTGTGGCTCTTTGAGTGCTTAAGGTTCCCGACCCCTGTTCTAGCAGCACAAAAAAGAGCATTGGAATATTGGAAGTGGGGAGTGGAATCTCGCATAGGAGGGCAGCTGAATGTCTCTGGGTAAGTAAATGCAATGGAAAATCTGTTTTTGAACAGGGCATTTTTTTGAAATATAAAATTCTGGGAACAAACAGTAAGGTAGCCTTCACTTCCTGCCTGTCAGCTTTTCAAAACCTGGCACGTCACAGTTAGCAAGTGAATACTTAGCTAAACCGATCGTTGGCCTTGACCTGCAGGATACTGGGTAAACGACCCACATTGTCTAAAGCTGTTTCAACTATTTGGTATGTTTACTTGACTTACAAAATAATAAAATACCATTTACAGGTAGTCCTCGGCTTACAACAGTTTGTTTAGTGACTGTTCAAACTTACAACAACATTGAAAAAAGTGACTTATGACACTTTTTCACACGACCATTGTAGTGTCCCTGAGGTCATGTGATCAAAATCCAGACACTTGATAATTGGTTCATATTTATGATGGTTGTAGTGTCCTGGGGTCATGTGATCATTTTTGCAACCTGATGAGCAAAGTCAATGGGACAGTCAGATTCACTTAACAACTATGTCACTAACACAACAATTGCAGGGATTCATTTAACAACTGGTGCAAGAAAGGTTGCAGGATGGGGCAAAATTCGCTTAACACATGTCAAGAACAGAAATTTTGGGCACAACTGTGGTTGTAAGTCAAGGACTACTTGTATATGGGACTAGAAATGTTTCACATATGTTGCCACTATGAAGCTGTAATCAAGTAGAGCGCATCTGCTATACAGGCATGTAAAAGTCTCTTGGAGAGGAAATGCAGAATGAAAATTTAATAAGAGTATAACACCAGTGTGAGCATCATCATGGTTTTATGAATTACATCTGGGAAACTAGATTGGACTTTATCAATAATTCTGTAGTAATTCCTGCTTCCTTTCTACAGAGTGACATTGTTCCAAGATTTCCTGGGAATAAATCTGTGAATCTCCATACTTCTACCCCAGCTAATGGGCATCCATCACCACCTACTTATACAGAGCTACATTCTAAAAGTTGCTTACTTTAGTTGGCCGCTAACTAGGCATAATTCTGACTTGCAGCACATAATAGGGCTCCTCGGCACTGGACTCAAAGAGGAAAAGCACTGAGAGAGCTAATTTAACAACTCTCAGCTACTCCTTAAACCAGCTGCATCTTTTCTCAAAATTACATAGTTAATCACGTCTGAAGCACAATCTTGGGGAAAGCTATGTTTGATTTCAGGTATCATCAACTGGTAATATAAAAGACCCTGATGTATTTCAAAACACTTTCTTCCGTTTGAGTCTGAAGCCGTCAGGCACAAAAATCAAATTCACACATGTAAACTATAAATTGCTCAAGCCTATTTTACATCAGTCTTCTCAGACTGGCAGCTTACCTCTGGAAAGACTAGATAAGATTCAATGGCATTCAAGGTCTGTGTGTGTGTGTGTGTGTTTCAGACCTTCCCTCTTGTATTTATGTAAAGGTTCTAGACTGATCCCCTGCTTGACCGCTCCTCCTCCCAAATGGCACAGTGGTGAAATCCAATTTTTTTTACTACCGGTTCTGTGGGCGTGGCTTGGTGGGCTTGGTGGGCGTGGCAAGGGAAAGATACTGCAAAATCCCCATTCCCACCACACTCCAGGGAGAAGGATAATGCAAAATCTCCATTCCCACTCCACTCTGGGGCCAGCCAGAGGTGGTATTTGCCGGTTCTCCAAACTACTCAAAATTTCCGCTACCGGTTCTCTAGAACCTGTCAGAACCTGCTGGATTTCACCCTGGGACAGTCTCTCTTTAATAGAAGCACTGCACAGCCAAATGGTCATGGGCCACCATTTTAGAAAGCCTCTAAACATCCCTGCTTAATTTTTTCAATCCTGCATAATATTCCATGAGCCCCTATGGCAAGAGAACGCTGGCAAGGCTTCATTGCATCAATATTCCTTTGTTTGACCAAGCTGGCAATTGTAGATGAATGACCAACTGAAATTATAAAAGGGATACTTTTGTTTTTAGCCATGCGATTATCGGTTGTTGTGAGCCTCCTAAAGTCGTTTATGAGATTGGTGACCAGAGAAGGCCTCTAAATAAATAATCACTTGCAAAAGTAGCTTCTAAATTTGCAACTTCTAAAGCTACATAGCACATGTTCATTAAAAGAAACCAACCGAACTAAAATTAACTTTCCATAGTTTGAGGGTAAAATGCCCTTGCATGGATATGATCCTAATATACTGCATCCACTCTACCAAGCAAGATACAGCCATATAGACCAGGGGTCTCCAACCTTGGCAACTTTTAGACTTGTGGACTTCAACTCCCAGAATTTCTCAGCCAGCAAAGCTGGAGTTGAGTTGAAGCAGTGGTGGGTTTCAAAAAATTTTACCACAGTTTTGTGGGTGTGGCTTGGTGGGCATGGCATTGCTTGGTTGGCGTGGCTTGGGAAGGATACTGTAAAATCTCCATTCCCTCCCCACTCCAGGGGAAGGATACTGTAAAATATCCATTCCCTCCCCAATCCAGGGGAAGATTACTGCAAAATCCCCATTTCCTCCCAATCAGCTGGGACTTGGGAGGCAGAGAATAGATGGGGACAGGACCAGTCAGAATTTTTACTACCGGTTCTCCAAACTACTCAAAATCTCCACTACTGGTTCTCCAGAACTGGTTAGAACCTGCTGAAAGCCATCTCTGAGTTGAAGTCCACAAGTCTAAAAGTTGCCAAGGTTGGAGACCCCCTGATATAGATGGCAATGATTTAATTCAGGAGGACAGTCTATATTGCCACTTTTTTTTTCTTTTAAAACAGCACTTTTTACCCATTGTATATTGCACTCATAAGAAATGTTTATGACAGATTGAAGAATTTGAAAGCTATTTTGCAGGTAGTTTGCTGGATGCCCAGTAAAAATAACAAGTTTTTAAAAGCATTTTAAAATTAGCACTGAAACGTGCATTTCTTAGTATTGTGTAATAACTCCAAAATAGTTTTAATACTTGGAAACAGATATGCTTGTTCCAGAAGCATATGTGCTGAAAAATACAGAGAAGAAAAACAAGTTTAGTGCTCTGTCCCAGATTGTTTGTAAAGATTAAATGCTGCAGATGAAAAGGCATCTACCAAAACAGTAAGTTCCTCCGGATGCATCACTGCCCAACTCAAAAGTTAAAAGTCTTTTTATATTGCAAAGGCAATTATGTTTGCGGATTAGGTTGAAAAAAGACGAGGTGTTGTTTGTTTTCTTTTGCTTCTGTTATATTGGCAGTGCCTAGTGCTTCCAGGCAAGGCTTTTATTGTACAAGTGCCCAGCCTCATTCACTAAATGTTATGCAGACAGATGTTCAGTTTAAGGATCTCTTAAGTTATCCCATGTTTTCCCAGACTTTATGTCAGGTTTTTTCTTTCTTTCTTTCTTTCTTTCTGCAGACACTCAGGTAAAGAGGAAAAGACAAGATGGCTAACTTCACAC